TTTGCCCTCTTGCAACCACCAGCTGCCATCCCGCGTTCGCGTGGTCTGACCGGCACGGAGGTTTAACGCTAAGGATATATTAGCTCATAGGGCTGTACTGACAGAGACACCCATCCCTTGTCTCTGCCCTCACCCCGGGTATGGACCGAGCTGAGGTGCAGTGAGTTCGCGGGGCCTCAGCAGGGGCTAGGGGAGCTGGAGTGAAAGCGCCACAGGAGCCATCGGGGACTGCTCTCCATTGCCAGGGGCCTGATAGTGCTGAGCAGCAACGCTAGCTACTACCTGAAACCCCTGGGGACCCCCGAGCCAGGCCACCACGTCATCCACCGAGCAGAGCACTTGCCCATCCGAGGTGGGACCTGCGGCCACGGCGATGATTTTGGGAGCACCATTGCTGACATCGCTCGGCTCTTCCAGCCAATGCACCACCGGGTAAATCCATCCTGGGGTCCTCCAAGCAAACGCTTGTGGAGGGGCAGAGGGCTGAGAGCGGGGCCGTCTGTGCCCCTGCTAAATGCCTGCAGCTTGGGGCGGGGGCCCCGCAACCCGGCAACCGGGGAAGGGTGCCCAAGCAAGGGGGGACGTGAGGGGTGTTCATGGGCAGCTCACCTGGTTTGAGTTTGGGCAGGAGACCTCAAAGGGAGGATGTGTGGGTTGGGGATCGGTGCTGTGTCATACAATGTGGGAAGTGATGTGAGGTGACATTGGGAATTGCACTAAAGCTGTCCAGATTTTCCTGGTCTCCTCGTGCCTCAGTTTCCCCGCTCGGCCGTCCTTCCTGGACAGCTCTGCGGTGTCTGGGGAGCCCGTGATGCCCAGAGCCATGGGCTGCCCACTCTTTCGCTCCTCCAAGCCTTGCTGTCTGTCTTGCAGGTGAAGAGAGATGCCTGGAGGACCATGAAGTACATGGAGCTCTTCATTGTTGCCGATCACACACTGGTGAGCACCGTGGGGGGCAGAAACCCGGTCCCCTGCCGAAAAGCCGGGACCCCTCTCTGTCCTCCTCCCTGCTCTTCCTCCAGTGACCCTTCCCCATCCCCACCTCTCTGCAGTACAGGAACCAGAACCTCAACCTGGGCCACACCAAGCAGCGCATCGTGGAGATCGCAAACTACGTGGACAAGGTAACGGCCGGTGAGAGGGACCTGCCACCACCTCCATCATTCCCGGTGCATGTGAAGGCACCTGAGCTCGGGGCCAGCCTGGTGGTGGCCCGCAGGGACCGTCCCCATGTCACTGGCGCTAGGAGTTTAGATGGCAGATGTGAGCATGTGGTGGAAAATGCTTTGCCACTCATCGGCTGAGCTGCAGCAGTGAGGAGGGTGCTGGCTCTTCGCCCTTGCTGTGGCGATGGGGATCAATGCTGGCATGCTCAACACAAGCGGGGACGTGCTTAGGCGTTGTCAGCTGATGGATTGCATTGTGCCACCCTGACTGGCTCCTGTGCCCACGCCTGTGCCTGTAGAGCTCATGCTTGCAGGTGGATTTGGGGCAAGTGTGTCCCCGAGTCACCCAGCTGGAAGTAAAGCATGGAGACCCACCAGCTGAAACACCGTGGCCGTGACGGAGGATGTACAGTGAATGCCAGTCCCCATCCCCTCCATCCCCTCTCCCCTCCCTGCAGTTTTACAGGTCGCTGAATATCAAGGTGGCCCTGATCGGCCTGGAGGTGTGGACGGAGCGGGACCAGTGCGCCGTCACCAGCGACGCCAACGCCACGCTCTGGTCCTTCCTGCAGTGGAAGAAGGTGCTGAGGTCACGCAAGAAGCACGACAATGCTCAGCTGCTGACGTGAGCACCCCTGTGGACCTGGGGACAGCAGGGCAGGGTGCTCCCGGCTCAGACCGGGGTCTCCAAACCACCCCTGGGATGCTAACTGCCCCTCCGTTCTCCTTTCCGGGCAGAGGGAAGACATTCAGGGGGACAACCATTGGCATGGCCCCGCTGGAGGGGATGTGCAGCGCGGATAACTCCGGAGGTGTCAGCATGGTAAGAGGCACATGGGGGTCCCCGCTGCTCCTCCCAGGCTGGGGGACCCCATCGCCACCCCGTCTTGCTGGGGTTCTTCACGGGCTTGGAGGACCAGCCATCCGGGCTTGGTCCTGGGATGCAGCCTGAGGGCAAATGATGATGCTGGTAGCCCCTTACCCCTCTCAGATGTTGGCCAAGTACTAAGGAAGGTGAGAAAGGGCTGGTTTAAAGGTCTCCCGCCCCAGGTACACCCTCAGCTTGCAGCTAGCAGCAGTGTTGGGATCTCCTGTGTTGCTTCTGCCCCTCATGTTGAATAGCCCCTGCTTGTTCCCTGCTTGTGCTCTCTGGTTTTGTAGGGTCGTCTCCGCCCCAGATAACTCTTATCCTCCTCCTGATGTGGTGATGGTGGCCCTGGTGACCTGTGGTCCCTGGTGGTGTGGCTCACCGAGGTTTCTGGTTTTTGGGATGTGCCTTCCAAGGCCCCAGGTTTTCAGCAGATGGCTCCAGCAGAGAAGCTTCCCAAGAGTCCCATGTGGGTCTCTTAGGAGACCAAACCCTACTTCTGCCACGAATCCTCCTCCATCCCTCTCTCTGTCCCTCCCACGGGATTCAGTTGCAATCACAGGGATGTTGTGGTCCCTCCATCACCCCAACCCCATTCCCTGCTGCGGGATCACCCCTCTCCATCGCTCCTGGCTGCTCTGCCGACGCATCCCCCATCCCTATGCAGGACCACTCGGAGCAGCCCATCGGAGCAGCCGCCACTATGGCCCACGAAATCGGCCACAATTTCGGCATGAGCCACGACAGCACGGGCTGCTGCGTGGAGGCCACCCCGGAGCAAGGCGGCTGTGTCATGGCAGCGGCCACTGGGTAAGTGGTGGTGGGGACGGGATGCGGCCCCCAAGGCCCCCAGCAGGTTGTGGATGCTGTTTGCAGCTGGGTGGGCTGGGGAGTGGGGAGGGGGTCCTGTCCTGCAAGGCACCGTTGCGGTTGCAGTGCCCCGTTGCAAAGGGGGACCCGGCTGGTTGCCCTCGTCCCCGTTTGTCCTGTACATCCCAATTCCCTGGAGCGAGCACATCCCGGAGCCCAGGAGCAGGCAAGGCTGGTGGTCTCCCAGGGGTAGCAGAGGGTAGCAGAGGGGTAGCAGCCGCATCCCAGAAGAGCTAGGGATGGAAGCAAGTGGATGTTATCTGGTGGACACGTTACAGGAATCCAAGGCGTTTTCCTGTGCTAACCCACACCTCAGCACAATGAAATGATTCTTTATTGTAAGACCAGAGGGCCAAGGGGTGCCCAGTCCCCGGTCATGCTGGCGGGGACTCACGGCATCGCGGGGCTGCTGTGGGGTGAGCTCACGTCCCTCACCTCAAGCCCACTAAATGTGGATGCGGGATGCTCCGGCGTGGCGGTCATTAGCTTTCATGCTCTCTGGCATCCCTCCAGGGTTTGTTTTCCTTTGCTTTTACTCTTTAATTCGGCCCAAAGCTGTATGAAATTCAGCTGGTTGGTGCCACTTTCCCCTCCAAGGTCCTTCTCCTGTTGGGTTTTCTAGCTCCCAACAATACAGTCATCCCAGGTTTCCCTGCACTGCAGAAAAGCAGCTGTTTATTCCCCGTTATTTGAACCCATTCGCTCTTCCAATTAATAAATAACAGTCAAAACCCACGATGCGGTTTCAGGGTGTCCCCAGGCTGTTTTCCCGTGGCTCTCAGGGCCGTCAGACCACGGCGCTGACCCCATGGCGTTTAGTCTCTGCCTAGGTGGATTGTGGTGGGGAAAAGCACCGGCTTTCCGGGACGAGGCAGTTGTGCACTTGTTTGTTTAGTTATTCTATTAATTAATTATCCTGCCCCCACCCACCGGAGCTGGATGCACTGGTGCAAAGCAGTAGCAGATGCTGTAGCCCAGCTGTGCCCCTGCTCACCCCTGCAGGCAAAGCTCTCCGAGCTGACACCTCCCCGTGACATTTCTTCCTTCTTATTTTTGCTGAAATATTTTTTTCCTGACATGGGCAGGAAACACATTTTTTGTCTGTCTTCAGCCTCTCCCTATTTGCACGTTCATGTACCAGCTTATTGGGTGTATTTACTTGCTCACCCTCCCATAACTTGCATGGACTTA